TCTTGTTACCCAGGCTGGAGTGCAATGGCGCGATCTCGGCTCACCACAACCTCCGCCTCCTGGGTTCAAGCAATTCTCCTGCCTCAGCCTCCTGAGTAGCTGGGACTACAGGCACGCGCCACCATGCCCAGCTAATTTTTTTGTAGTTTTAGTAGAGACGGGGTTTCACCATGTTGACCAGGATGGTCTCGATCTCTTGACCTCGTGATCCACCCGCCTCGGCCTCCCAAAGTGCTGGGATTACAGGCTTGAGCCACCGCGCCCGGCCCTATTTTTTTATATTCTTCAAAAACCCTACAAACTTCTCTTACTTAGATCCATACTAAATTCTGAATACCAAGTATCAGAAGGAATTCTGTATTTGCAATTAAGACATTTGTTCAAAGAGGAAATTTACCTTATTATTTTTCCTTTTTAATAACCCTCATGCTAAACATAATAGCTATACATTTGATTATACATTCCAGAAGACAGAATTTGTGGCCACTCATTTCATATTGTACTTACTATGGTAAACTCAACACACAGCAAGCAATCAAATATGTCAATTGATCATATAAATAAAAATAACACATGCTTACTGAGTTTTGGTAGCTTATCCAGAGTAGAGGACTTAAGACCACAAGAAATGCCATGAGTCATTCCAATCATCAACCTATATCATACTTACCTTCAAAGTAAGCAGATGAAGAAATTATATTAAAATTGCAACTATAGACATGTAAATTGAGAACTGTGTTACTTTGTTTTGTTTTGGGTTTTGTTTGAGATTAGATCTGTCACCTAGGCTGGAATGCCGTGGCCCAATCTCCCATCTCTGCTCGCTGCAAACTCTGCCTCCCAAGCTCAAACACTCCTCCCACCTCAGCCTCCCAAGTAGCTGGAACCATAGGTGCATGCCACCATGTACAGCTAATTTTTTGTATGTTTTGTAGAAATGGGGTTTTGTCCTGTTGCCTAGGCTGGTCTTGAACCCCTGAGCTCAAGCAATTTACCCACCTCAGCCTCCCAAAGTGTTGGGATTACAGGCATGAGCCACTGTACCCGGCCTCAACTGTATTACTTTGAATTTCGGTGTACAGTGAAGAAGACTTTTCATTTATTTCTGTAATGCAAATAAGTAAAGACAAGGCAATATTGTAGATACCAGTGAAGCTCAAAATCTATAGGGCAAATCCATATTATATAAATATTTAGGGTATGAGAATATTCAAACAAATTTGTAGCTAAATTTGTTTTGTATTTCAAAAAACTAATCGATATAAATGACATGAAGGAATATATACAGGGATGCCATTGCATGCTGTCAATTAGCATAGGATCGTAGTAGAACAATTTTTCACTGAGAATATATATGATGTTATGCTACATAATTTATTCAATACACATTTATCAAGTATCTAATATGTGCCAGGTACTGCATGGGTACTGTGGATACAATGGCCTTTGTCCTCATAGAAATTACAGTTTTGTTGAGAAGAGACATTACCCTGATAATCATAATCATATATAGGTAAAATTGCAATTGTAACAAGTGCTCTAAGGAGAGGTATGTGGATAAATCATAAACTATGATAGGAAGATATGGTCCTTCCTGGGAGACTGGATAAGGCTTTGGGATCTGAAGAATGAGTATGAGTTTACTAAACAAAATGAGAAGGGAAAATTATTTCAGATAGAAGGAACAACAGATACAAAATGCCTGTAGTAGAAAACCAAAAGACTAGCCCAAAGGAAAGAAAAAAGGCACGAATGACTAAAGACTAGGGAGCAAGAGAGAACATGATACAAGACATAGCCAGGAGAAGGGAGGGTGGTGCTGTACTGTACTGGACCTTATAGGCCACATGTTTATCCTGAAGAAATTGAAAGGTTTTAAGGAAGGCAAGTAACATAATTAGATTTGTGCTTTAAAAAATTACCCTAGATGCGGCCGGGCGCGGTGGCTCAAGCCTGTAATCCCAGCACTTTGGGAGGCCGAGGCGGGTGGATCACGAGGTCAAGAGATCGAGACCATCCTGGTCAATATGGTGAAACCCCGTCTCTACTAAAAATACAAAAAATTAGCTGGGCATTGAAAGATCAATCCCAGCACTGGGAGGCCAAGCCAGGAGGATGGCTTGAGCCCAGGAGTTGGAGACCAGCCTGGCAACATAGCAAGACCTCATCTCTCCAAAAAATTAGCCAGTCATGGTGGCGTGTGTCTATAGTCCCAGCTACTCAGGAGTCTGAGGCGGGAAGATCATTTTAGCCTGGGAGGTCCAGGCTGCAGTGAGCTGTGAGTGACAGAGTGAGATCCTGTCTCAAAGAAAAAAAAAAAAAATTAAATTAAAAAGTAAAAAACTTAAAAAGTGATGACCAGTAAGATAGAGAGCAGCAAAACCGAGAGTATGGTGTCCTAGAAGTCAAATTAAGAAAGTATATCAAGGTTTCTGGCTTATACATGGAAGCATGGAGGTACCCAGCACCAAGACAGGGAAATCCTGGAAAAGGATCATGTTTGTGAAGGTAAAGATAACAAATTTGGCTCAAATATGTTGAGGTACATAATCAACACTGAGTAAATGAAGGAACAGTAAGCTGTAATTTTAAAAGTCTCATCTCTGATTCTTTGTTTGCTCTGTGACATAAGTTGTCATTACCATCCTGAGGTTCAATTTTCCTTCCTATGACATGGAGGTAATATTTATATGAGTGACCACAAATGGTTGCTGTGTGGATCAAATGTGGTAATTTAGGAAACAAACTTCAAATCCTTATGAAGATGTAAGAAAAAGTCACAGAATACAGAAAGTTGTAGGAATCCTAAGAAACAAAAGTTATATTTAATCCTTATAAAGGAAGAAAGGAACAGAGAAGCTAAATCAGGCCTGTAAGAAACCATTCACACTATACCCTTAGCTGAGTCCTGTGAAATTCCTGCTTTATTTCAAAGGTCACAAACCCTGCTTGCTTTTAATATTCTCCTCAAACACCTCTACAACTTCCTAACCCAACTGAAACTTGGCTTATCTCTGAAGACACCACTTACCTTGACACCAGTCATAATGACCTATCATCCTCCAAACATGCCTGAAATATTAAGATTTCCATATTTTTGCTCATATGTTATTTCCTTTACCTGGAATTTCCTTTCCCCATTTCATTCTCTATCCAAATTGTGAATATCCACAAGGAACTGCAAGGCCATCAGGATTATGAAGGTTACCATGGTTCCTCACAACTGAATGAAACCTCTTCTGTTTTTTTTTTTTTTTTTTTTTTTGAGACGGAGTTTCACTCATGTTACCCAGGCTGGAGTGCAATGGCGCGATCTCGGCTCACCGCAACCTCCGCCTCCTGGGTGCAGGCAATTCTCCTGCCTCAGCCTCCTGAGTAGCTGGGATTACAGGCACGCACCACCATGCCCAGCTGATTTTTTGTATTTTTAGTAGAGACGGGGTTTCACCATGTTGACCAGGATGGTCTCGATCTCTTGACCTCGTGATCCACCCGCCTCGGCCTCCCAAAGTGCTGGGATTACAGGCTTGAGCCACCGCGCCCGGCCCCTCTTCTGTTTTTTTTAAAGACAAGCCTCACTCTGTTGCGTAGGAGGCAGTGTAGTGACACCATCATGGCCCACTGCAGCCTCAACCTTCTGGGCTCAAGGGATCCTTATGCCTCAGTCTCCCAAATAGCTGGGACTATAGGTGTGTACCGCTATACTCAGCTCAATTTTTTTGTAGAGACAAGGTCTCCCTATGTAGCCCAGGCTGGTCTTAAACGCCTAGGCTCAATCCTGCCTCAGCTTTCCAAAGTGCTGGGATTACAGGAGTAAGCCACTGCACCAGGCTGACCCTCTTCTGTAGAACCACCACAGCAGATAACATATATCTGCCACATCCCTCACTTCCCTCTAGTTGGTATTACATATTTTGCATAAAAGTCTTCTATTTCTAAATAGGATTCAAGTCAGATTCATCTCTATATCAGTTGGTGCTCTTAAAATATTTACTGTGAACATGGACTTAATGAGCTTGACGTGTTGAAACTATTTCTAATGTCTTGCCATACTCACATTTTTTACTTTGTTTTTCCACTTCTGCCTTCAGTCTCTTGTACTTGTCTGTCCTGTAAACCAGGACCCAGGTTATGCCTAAAACATTAAAAGCAACATGTTAATAAATGACTGGAACGATCACAACAACCTATTATCAGCGGTTACTGTTGGAGAAAGAGAAATTCCAGCTTTTCACTTTGTATTTACCCGTAGTTAACTTTTGTCAAAGGCCAATACAATTGACTCTTAAGCCAAAACAACTGTAACATGATGTGAAGGTGTTACATCATGTTACAAATAAGCAAGTGAAATCTACCTAAGACCAAAGAAAACTCATCAATCGACTCCATATTCCCCTCCTGCTCCCGTTCACGAGTTGCCCAGAGATTCCCTGGAGTGGAGTATATGAGCCTCCCAAGCAAGTAAGGCTCGCGATCTTTCCCCGATGGCGCTAGGGACCCCGGGGCCCTTCCTCCCGGAGACTGATCAAACGTCTGAGAAATAGCCGCTCTCACCCTCGGCGAGCAGAGCCGTGCACACAGAGATAAATACGATGAGGAGAGTGTCCGCGAACATGGTGCTCATCTCGCACCTTCGTCCCTGCACTCCCACCTGCCAGGTGGAAAGCGATCTAGAGCCAGGAAAAGTGAAGGGAAAACGGCTTCCGTAGACTCCGCCACCACCGAGTAACACACCAACTCTGACAGCCCGAAGATCGCACTTCCCCTTCCGGGGCACAGCCCCGGAAAGGCTCGTGTCGGAAAAATGTTCGACCAAGAGAATCTAGAGGAAACCAACCTGCAAATCACTGGAGCTGAAGGGCTAGTTCTCAGGCCGAATCTCGCGAGAATTGGAATTTGAGCCCCGGAGCAGGAGCGTGGCGGGGAGTAACTTGCCGGATAGTTTTTGCCGATTGCGATGCTGGCGCGCGTCTTTTTCTCGGCCAGAATCCCGTTATTGGGATAGTCTTGGCATCCATCTCAGTTCCACTTCTGTGGTCGTAATATTAATTCAGCTTGTGTTTGCTGTGAAGTAAGAACCGCAAAAGTACTGAACGCCTGGGTGTAGGTGCCAGGCCATGGACTCGAAGCTGGGGCTGCGAAATGAATTAATTGTGGGCCGCTGGCCTCAAGGAGCGAATGTCAGCGCGAAGGAGAGAAGCTTGTGCATACTCTCTGATAAGGGTTTTAATAGAGGTATTACACCACAGTGCTGCGTGACACTGTTGAGAGGGTGCTCAGAAGCAGCTAATGAAAGGAATTGAAGCAGTGCCTTAGAGGAGTAGGAGTGCTTTTGGAAAAAGCAAAGGATTTTCTAGACAAAGTGGAAGTTGAAAGACACGGATGCCTGAAAATTCATCGTGTGATAGAGCAGTGAATAATGTGTTTAGAGAAGGGGTCATAAACCTAGATGCCTAGACTGACATAAATTACCTTAGGCAAGCTTAGCCTAAAAAAATGGTGGAAGGTAGTATGATGGATAAGGGAGCATTAAGCTCATTTGAAAGGAGAATTTGATACTTAGATCCAACCTATTTCTCTAGGAGAATGAGCATCCAGTTTTTGATTTGTCTTCGTTTCTCGGGAAAATCCATATACCATGGGTTTTATGTGAAATTTCAATTTATAAATGCTAGTAACTTATTAAAATTCAAAAATGCCTTAGAAGCGTGGTTTCAGCTATTGTAGACGTTTTCAGCTTTTTCAGACTGGTGTGTGTGTGTATGAACACCTGAAAGCTGGCTGAGCTGTATCCTCTTGTACTTTCTATCATTGGTTCTTTTAAACTCTACTGCACTTAAATTTATAATTCTCCTCAACACTACTTTTGACCTTTTTTAGCTTTATGTGCATTTCTTGTCTCCTACACTTAGCAGCAGAGACCCTGTCTCCTTTTTAAGAAACATTATTGAGCTTCTATGTGTTAAGAACAGTGGTAGGTAAGGTAGGGTCAAAAGGATGGTTAAGAGAATATTCCTGACTTCCAAGGCCCCAGGGAGATTACACAATATAATAAATTATTATAGAGGTATTTTTAAAATATTGAGGGGGTACAGATGAGAACAAGATTTTTTCTTCCTGGGTAGTTGGAAAGGTTTCAAAAAGATCACATATGAGCTAAACCTTGATTTGAGCTGTTAGGACAACGTTAGGTTTTTATTCACCTTTGTATCATCCAAGGTAAGTGCTGAGATAATGATAAGAGCATGACCTTAGAAGTCAGACCTGATTTTCAATTCTGGCTCTGCCACTTACTTGACAGCAGTCCTAGAACCTATTGTTTAGCATCTTTGAGCCTCAAAAATGATGGTAACATGAACTGCATAAAACTGTTAGGAAGATTGTGGAAGAGTCTACTATAAAGCATTTCAAGCAGTGGTTGGCACACACAATTCATCAGATTCAACATGCTATTCATTGTAAGATGCATCATTATTTTATCTACTACCTAAAAGGAAAAAATAACTAATTAAAACATGACACAACATTGATTGTCAGATGAATCCCATTCAGAGATGTTAAAATAGGAAAAAATAAGTCTTAGAATCAATGAAATATATTAACTAATAAGCAGTTATTTCTGTGTAAATGTTTACAACTGTGGACTGCTAGGATCCAGTTCCTTTTCTAAGGTAGTGATGTCATGACACTATGCCCCTTGTTTAAGAACAGTGCCAGAGACAAATCCAGATAACATCTTTTCTTGATTCTACTAGTTTTCTTTGTCATACTCCCAAATTCTCCAAGCTTCCAGTTGTACTATCTAATTTTTAGATTTCCAAGTTTTCCCTGTGAGGACCACTCTCCCAAAGCTCATTGACCTCCTCCAGTCTCTAGTACAATAGCAAGACTTTTGTCCTGAGATTTAATTTTACTATTCTCTTGCACCCATAATTTTGTTTCTAGTTTTGCTTGATGTTGTGGTACATCTTCAAGTAACTTTCTGTGAAAGGTGAATAGGAGCTAAGCTTGTTCTTACGTTATTAGCAGAATTAATAATACTGTTGTTGCTTTGGGGTTTTGTTTTGTAGAGACAGGGTCTCAGCTGGGCGCAGTGGCTCATGCCTGTAATCCTAACACTTTGTGAGGTCGAGGTGGGTGGATTGCCTGAGCTCAGGAGTTTGAGACCAGCCTGGGCAACATGGCAAAACCCCATTTTAAGAAAAAAAAGAAAGAAAGAGTCAGGTTCTGACTTTGTTGCCCAGGCTGGGTCTCAAACTCCAGGGCTCAAAGCAGTCCTCCTGCTTCAGCCTCCCAAAGTGCTGGGATTACAGGCATGAGCCACCATGCTCAGCCAATACTATTCTTCATTTTTATTCATTCATTTATTTTTTTTTTTTTGAGATGGAGTCTTACCCTGTCGCCAAGGCTCGAGTGAAGTGGCACGATCTCAGCTCATGGCAACCTCCACCTCCTGGGTTCAAGCGATGCTCCTGCCTCAGCCTCC